TATATGTGTGTGTGTGTGTGTGTGTGTATATATATACATGCATACATAAACACACACACATATATATATATATATATCGTGTAACTATATAATATAAACAATAAATTAGTTTTCATATTTTTTATAAATATACATATTTATTTATTAACAGAAATATTACATATGCCATCTGTGTTCAGGCCTGTGTACATCCTAATGAAGTAGTCTGAGAAAAATAGTCAAGGCAAACTGCTGCTTGATAAATCATTCATTTTGCAACCATTAATGGATGAGGATCACCAGAGGATGCGCTGATATTTTTTATATCTGCAATACAAGAGTCTGGGTGAGAAAAACACTAATATAATGTATAAATGAATAGTACAACATGTGCAGAAATTAGAGGATCAATGGATTCTTTGTGATGTGGAACTCTCACATCAGCTTTGAGACTGAAAATATTTGTTCCCTTTAATATTTCCCTTGTCACCACGGCATCACCAGTTGAGATGAAATCATAGATTCATGAATTCATGATAAAGAAGACTGTCCATACAGAGTCCCTTTGGAGAAAAAAAAACTATAGAAAATTTCTTCCACCGGCATTTTTTGAAGGACTAAGTGTTTGTATCTGATGTGTACAAATGAAATCGGACTTAAACTTGGGCACACATCAGTGAGTCACGTTCAGTTTCAGTCATCTCCATCCTTATCCCCTTATCCTAAATACATATCATAAAAGATCAAATGAGTCTATCAGAGCTACGGAGACAATGTTGGGATCAAATGTGATTCAACAGCTGGAGTGAACACTCTTTGCTTTTAAAAATGTGCCATAACTTTGTTTCAGAATAAATGTTTTAAGTGTCTTGTGTGCAGTCCTCATAGGCAATATCCTGTATTCCTAAACATATTTATTAAAAATGATAGATTACCAAGAAAAAGCAATGACAATCTGTAATGAAACAACAAAGTTTTGATCAGAGATTTTATGTTTCCTTGAGCTTACCAAGAGAAACTGTTTTTAAACCAAATATCTTAATATGTTTTTAAACCAAATATCAAAATATTCTATTGATAAGTATTTATTGGTTAATTTAAATTAAAATCATAACATTTTAGAGACTGAGATCCTTTTATTGTCACATGCAACTGGCTTTCAGAGTAGTCACTCGTATCTTAGTGAAGCGGGGGGGGACCATGCATTATAGTTCAATTACTTGTATCACTTCAAGAAGCAGTTAATATTAAATGATGACCATGCAGTTACTGTAAACTCAGGTTCTAAATGGGCTTAGTTAGCCTTGTTGAATTTTGTGGGTGTCTTGTTTTTATTTAAGAGATATAAAAGAGCACTGGAATAAAAATGTATTGATTGAATGCATGTTGGAAAAATTATTGAATAAAATCCTGAAAAAATTAAGTGGAAATTGAAGAAATCATGTATGATTGTGAGAGTTTTTGTTCTCATAGTGCTTTAAAACAAAATTACATACAATGGTTCTATTACTTTGGGGATTGTCAGTAACCTCTATTATTTTATGAAAGCATCACTGTTGAACTAGGACTAGGCTTGGACTGTTTCTAAGCAATTTTTGGGCAAACAAAAAAGAGAAAACATGCTTTCTATAGACATTAAATGTAATGATAGAAAATGATTGTCATGTTTATACAATTTGATTGACTGCTGTATGATTTTAGTCCTTGATATATGTTATGTGGGTGTTTAGAAATAGCTGAAAAAAAAGGCAAATTGATAATGTGGTCAACAAACTTGGAACTAGTTCATAGCCGTGCAATTATAGAATGACTGTGAACCAATCAGAATCAAAATTCAGCAGTGTTGGTGAATGAAAAATATGAGACACACTTATTACCTCTTTAAAGGCATAGTTCAGCCAAAAAGGAAAATTCACCCTCATGGCGTTCCAAAACAATACGTGTTTTTTTTTCTGTTGAGCATAAAAGAAGATATTTTAAAGAATTTGGATAACTAAAAAGTTGACAGTAGCCCATGACTTCCATAGTATAAAAGAAAAAAAAGGAAGTCAATGGCTACCATCAATTGTTTGGCTACCAACATTCTTCAAAATATCGTTTGTGTTCAGCAGAAGAAAGAAACTCACACAGGATTTTAACAACATAAGGGTGAGTGAATGATTGAATTTGATGAATTTTCATTTTTGGATGAACTAGTCCTTTAAATGTCAGTCAAATTGAACCCTAGGTTAACCCTTTAACGTTTTTAAATAGTTAAATATAAAAAAGTAAAATTTAAAAATGTGTTTTTAAATATATAAAACGAATCTACACGGTCACAAAAACTGATTCTAATGTGATATTTCTTCACTGGAAACGGGTCAAAATCACAGTTAAGTCAATAGAAGGGTTAATGCGTTAGGGGGCAGTGCAGAGCTATATGAGTCCATTTGTCAACACGAAGCAGCGCAAGCGTCGGAAGTGATGTAAAAATCGTGTGATTTGTTGATGTTGATGTTCCGAAAGTGTATTGATTGAATGCATGTTGGAAAAATTATTGAATAAAATCCTGAAAAAATTAAGTGGAAATTGAAGAAATCATGTATGATTGTGAGAGTTTTTGTTCTCATAGTGCTTTAAAACAAAATTACATACAATGGTTCTATTACTTTGGGGATTGTCAGTAACCTCTATTATTTTATGAAAGCATCACTGTTGAACTAGGACTAGGCTTGGACTGTTTCTAAGCAATTTTTGGGCAAACAAAAAAGAGAAAACATGCTTTCTATAGACATTAAATGTAATGATAGAAAATGATTGTCATGTTTATACAATTTGATTGACTGCTGTATGATTTTAGTCCTTGATATATGTTATGTGGGTGTTTAGAAATAGCTGAAAAAAAAGGCAAATTGATAATGTGGTCAACAAACTTGGAACTAGTTCATAGCCGTGCAATTATAGAATGACTGTGAACCAATCAGAATCAAAATTCAGCAGTGTTGGTGAATGAAAAATATGAGACACACTTATTACCTCTTTAAAGGCATAGTTCAGCCAAAAAGGAAAATTCACCCTCATGGCGTTCCAAAACAATACGTGTTTTTTTTTCTGTTGAGCATAAAAGAAGATATTTTAAAGAATTTGGATAACTAAAAAGTTGACAGTAGCCCATGACTTCCATAGTATAAAAGAAAAAAAAGGAAGTCAATGGCTACCATCAATTGTTTGGCTACCAACATTCTTCAAAATATCGTTTGTGTTCAGCAGAAGAAAGAAACTCACACAGGATTTTAACAACATAAGGGTGAGTGAATGATTGAATTTGATGAATTTTCATTTTTGGATGAACTAGTCCTTTAAATGTCAGTCAAATTGAACCCTAGGTTAACCCTTTAACGTTTTTAAATAGTTAAATATAAAAAAGTAAAATTTAAAAATGTGTTTTTAAATATATAAAACGAATCTACACGGTCACAAAAACTGATTCTAATGTGATATTTCTTCACTGGAAACGGGTCAAAATCACAGTTAAGTCAATAGAAGGGTTAATGCGTTAGGGGGCAGTGCAGAGCTATATGAGTCCATTTGTCAACACGAAGCAGCGCAAGCGTCGGAAGTGATGTAAAAATCGTGTGATTTGTTGATGTTGATGTTCCGAAAGAAAAACCTCGAAACCGAAGGAATAAAGTCGATCTGTGACGACTGTATTAATACACCGACACCTCATATTATGTTAGGACAGGTGTAGCCATACATGCAGCGAACAACCTGTTCATAGACAAGCAAAAACGGCCGTTATTCTCATAACAACACAAATCACCGCAAGCTGGCCAGCGATGACAATCCTCCCGAAGAAGAAACCGGCCTCCACAGCCGGTGGCGGTGATCATACGGACGAACCGGACAGACGAGGCGGTTCTGAGTCGAACCCTCATCCCCTCGCAGGACGCTCGGGGTCCCGACCCAGGGCCTCTCCTCCGCCGTGGACATACCAGCCCACGCCGCACACGACCAGAGAGGAGCGGCGGATCGAGGCGAGCGCTCGCCCGCGGCCGGCCTCCCCGCAGCCCGCTGCCGCTGGAGCACCGGTCGTGCAGTGCGAAGGGAGCGCGAACTCGGTTGTGGTCGCAGGTCGCGTCGAGCTGCCCTGCGGCGCAGGTGGCGTTGGAAGCTGCTGCTCGGGACCCGGACTCAGCAAACGGAGACGACAGGCGGTCTGCTCCAGCGGTTTGACAGGTGGAGGAGGAAGAGTGGGAGGCGGCGGTGGAGGAGGAGGCGGTAGTCCAGTCTCGGAACCAGAGGAGGGAGCTGGAGGCAACAACAGTGAGGACGAGTATGAGAACGCGGCCAGATTTCAACATGTGGACCCCGCCACAGTCGAGCAGGTACTGGATGCTGGCATTTGGCAGGATACTTGGCAACACGAGAACAGGTTGCTAGTTGTTTCATCCTCTAAAATGCATTAAATACATAGGCGCTGTTCTAAAGCATAATAGAAAGGTTTAAAGTTCTCTCTACATGTTCATTATTAATATTATTGTAAACGTGTTTATTGTCATTCATTCTTGATAGAAAAGAAATAGGCCTAGAGGTTCTCTTAAGATATACGTTACTCACAATTATGATATAAAAACTTGACTTCATGAAATAAAAAGTTGAAATTATGACGTACGTCATAAAACTAACCCTACATAATGAAAACAAAATTGAAATTGGATGGTGACTGAGCTTGTCATTTATTATTCTGTGGAAGCTGAATGTTAGGCAGAAAGTTTTCTTGAATCAACTAAATTTTTGAATCAACCATCCTATTAATCTTTATGTCCAAATACTTTTTGGGGACACTGTCAATTTTGTTGATTGGAATAAATACTCCAAATGTCCTCATTGTTCTATAATATATACTTTCCTGGTTGCTTTTTGGCCTACAGCAAGAAGAATGGTTCGAGAAAGCCTTAAGGGAAAAGAAAGGCTATGAAATCAAAAAAATGAAGGAAGATGGAGCATGTCTTTTCAGAGCAGTCGGTAATATTTCTCTCCTGTATTTAGGGGTTATTTACTTGAAAGCTGAGTCAGTTTGCCTTTAGGACATATGCTGTGCTTTGAATTTGCTGAAATTATAGTTTAGCAGTGCAGATATAATCATGTGGCTATTACAGTGCATAGGTGCCATATTGTGGCAAATATCAGTTTTTCAGTCCTAAAGTATTCATGGTATTCATATCAAAACCTTCATTTAAAAATCTATCATTTCTGTATTATTGTTGTTGTTATTATTATTGTTGTTGTTGGATTAAATTTTTTAGTTGCAATGTGCATACAATTATTTTTAAAACGTAATTATGAATGACTGGGGAAGTCATGAAAATTCATTGACAGTTGACAACTATGGATTACACATTTAACTGTGTTATTTTAGTATTATTTATATTAATACAGCTTTTCTTAATGTTTATGTGCTTTTATCATTTTTTAAAGCTGATCAAGTCTATGGGGACCAAGATATGCATGATGTGGTACGGAAGCAGTGTATGGATTATTTGGTGAGTCAGTTAAATATTTAACAGGCATGTGATCAACTAGAGACAAAAAAGAAGGAAAATCTCACCACGCCCCGTCATGCCCACAAGCCACACCCCGAGCACTTATTATTAAAAATATATATTTTAGCACATTAAAAGATATATCTTAAATTGTAATAATACATTCTATTGTCCTGTAAAAAAATTAAAAAGCAGCATTTGATAATCATGATAACAATATAATATATTATAATAATGTACTGTTCATTTGTTATTATTATTAAAGTACCTGCCAAAAGTTTGGCAACATTACAATTATTATTGATTTTGCAATAAATATCTTCTGCTCATCAAGGCTGAATTTATTTGATCAAAATAAAGTAAAAAAACCCCAGCAATATTGTGAAATTATTATTACAAATTATTATTATTACAAATTAAAAAATGTTTTCAATTTTAATGTATTA